TTATTGCACGTTAAAACCTCTGTATTTAAAGTTATTTTGAAACAATATAAATTGTTTTTGTTTGAAAGTAAATAAATACCAACCTATTTACCTTTTTTTCAAGCTATGTGGTGAAATAGGCTAGTCAAGTTTCCTGGTTTGGAGATATTGGTTTAGGCCAATGGCCCTATGGCATTTGATTAAATAACAACCATCGGTTTATGATCTTGTTAAAATATGGGTTGCTCTTGCTCGTAAAATAAATAAATAAACTTATATTGCAATCATAATGTTGAGTCGGCAGATTTTTGTTTACTATCATCAACAAAACAGGATGACGCCATCTTGATTTTGCCTCTAATTTGACATGTCCCACCAACCCGATCACCCGGCCAACCTAACGAAACGAAACTCTGAAACAAAACCAGGAAAAACAGTGGTACGTTTTTAAAACACAGAGTGGTTACTCCAGTTATTATTATAGCTCAGTGGTGTTTACCCGCAAATAATGTCATGGCGACCAATTAACCCATAAGGCCAATGTTAAATTTCTAAAAGTTTGCATTCATGTAGGGAAAAGACCTGTGGTCCGATTTGTACCATTTCAGATTTATACCTTCCCATGGTTGGGTACTATGACTGTGTTAAATTTTGTGCAGATCGCTTCAGCCGTTCAGGAGGAGTATTTGTAAAACAAAAGCAGGAGTGTAGTATAAGAGCTCCGCTCAATTATTTACTACACAAAATATTTGTAATGTAAAACATTGTTCACCACTCGGAGCAAAAGTATATTATTTATGGTACTTAAATTGTCTTATAGTACGTGGCAGTACAGTATTATTAGTTGCTTGTTGCACTGTTTTACACACTGCTCAAGCGCTTAACTCATTAAGTGGCATCCTGTCCACACACTGTTGATATATACCGAATTGCGGCATGGTGCCACTATTTAGAGTGTAGGCTGGCGCGAGAATTGGCAACATAGCATTAGGGAAGTTATAGTTCCAGCGGACGGCGCGAGGCGCGCTAGCTACCAGTATGGTTTCGTGTTCCACAATTCGGCGTGTACCTGCGCTACTTAAACTCACATCAACGAGTTCAAAAATACTCAATTGTGGCATGTGATGTTTAAACGACGTAATTAGTGATGTAAAATTCCCGGGAATTTAATATCGAGGAAATATTCCCAGGGAATATTGCCGGCAACATTCCCAAAATTCATAAATTCCCGGGAATTTATTTTTAATTAGCAACGTAGGTTTAAAAACTGTTACTTAATAGTTAAAAGCCATAATTATAAGGTTAAATCAACCACAAAAACTGAAATATATTATAATACAAAGTTTTAATTGAAATAAATAACTGAGAATTTATAATTTTATAAGCTAAATTGCTCAAATCGGTCACTTTGGTAATTTGTTTTAAATAAAACACAAACAATCTATTTTCAAAAAATTTTGATTTAATACAACTAGTGTACCTGTTGCTCGAATTCAAGCTATTTCTAAGTATTACAGGTGTTATTTTAAAACGAGTAAAAGTCATAATTTCTGATGACTTTAAAAGATTCGCCTCAAGAATTATGGAAATACTCAAGATCTATATAACAGATCGATATAATCAACATTTCTTGTAAATATCTTATCATTTTTCAAAGGCTGATCTTGTTTTTTAGTGTTTTCTACAAATAGCCTTACACATAGCCACATTAGGTTGTCCTTAATAATGATTATAAATCCTTAAAAAACAGTATTTCTATTTCTTCTCCTTGGTGGTGTTCTATGACTTTCCTAAGTTTCCATAGTTTGCAAATCGACTCTTTTATTTATTACTAAGAAATGCAGCACATTGTTAATTCAGTTTTCTTTTAGCGAATTTCCCTATAGGGAAGTAGCTTTTACCGTAGTTGGCAAGGTAAGACCAACGAGCACATAACATGATAAGACCTGGAGCCGGGACCGATATACTATTTTGTTTTGATGTCCTTAGAGGCCAAAAACACTGTTCAAATTTTTATGTCCGTAAATTGCATGTATATATGGCGGACATATATATACACGGACATATGTAGCCTATATACGTCAGTGAACGTGATAACAAAGAGTAATTTTTCTCCGATTTTGATTAAATTTGGTTTGAGGATGTATGGCGGGATAAAATTAAATGAGTTAGCAAACCAGCATGATCGGACCATGGGAACAGGGTTTTATGGGATAGAAAATGGTTTTTCTTATTTTTTACCCTCAAAACACAAAATTTCCCAATTTATCTCTAGACCATTTTAAAGTACTAAAAAACAAATAATTTAGTAGGCCTATACCAAAATGTTTTTGTATGGTTATTGTTTATTACAAAAATTTAAAAAATAGCAAATTTAAAATTCCTATGCTATTCTTATGGAGAATATTGTAAAATTTTGTAGTTTGCTTGTTTATGGAAATATTTTGATCAAACTTGGCCCATTTATTTATTTTATTGAAGGGTGACCTTCTTCCGCATCGCAGTCATGACCTTCCATTTTAATCTTTTGGAGGAATACAAAACTTTAAAGGGCCCCAGGGCCTCACTTTCTAATTATTATTTCCCTAAAAAAAGTTTCCTGCACAACTTCACGTTACGCTCTTTCTAATGACACCACAAACATATCTATCGGTTCAGGCCTAGTTGTCACAAAAAACCTGCTTGCGTATCAAATTAGTATATACAGATAATCAGAAACAAACATAACCTAGTAAATATACAGGAAATAAAAATATTATTTGAAAACAAATTTATTTAGTGTATTAAATCAAGACTACATATTAAAAACGAAAAGGTTAGATGGGAAATACTGAAATATTTGCTTTCTGTATTAATTTTTATGTTTCTTAGTCACTGTCACTTTCTATGTCAATTATATTTCCTTTGTCCTTCTCGTCATCTACATCTCCAAATCCACAAAAATCGTCTTCATTGTTACTTGTCAAGTCAATCTCATCCTCATCCCCTTCTTCGATTGTGAGAAGGGACAGGATGTCTTAATTTTCTTCCTGTCCTGTTTCCTCTGGGTTGCCTTCTGCTTGCTTACTCTCTCTTAGAGGTTGAGCATTCATGAGTTTCCAGATGTAAGAAAGAACTGTCAGTTTTGCTGCTCACTCAGATAAAAGTCTGTTTCTTTTCTTGGAATGCAATAATTAAAATCCATTCAGTTTCATAAATTCCAACATTTTTTTACAGAAATGTACATGGAATGACAACTCTTAGATTTAAATGTAAGAATTTCCTATAGGTAAAGTAGTTTTAAGGTTCTTTAACCGTCAATATGTATTAAAACGATCAGAATTTTAAAATTTTCATAAATTCCCAATTTTTGGGAATATTCCCAGTTTTGGGCCAAAGAAATATTCCCGGCAATATTCCCATTTTATAAGTTCCCTCCCACTGGGAATATTCCCGGCCCACATCACTAGACGTAATAATGCTGGAAAACCCAAAAAATGATCGAATTAGCTGTGGCACCCTAAAAAAGGTGCCACAATTTTTGAAGGTACCACAGTACGGCCACGTGCCTGTGAAGGATGCCACTATTCGGTGAATACAGACACACACACACAGACATCACTTCGAAAACCACTTTTTTGGGTCCAATGGGAACCCAAAACGAATATATCCACTCAAAACTCAAACTCGAAAATTTTGACGAAAACAATACTTTCAAAATACTTTACTTTAACAATACTTTACGAAAGTAATATAAACATTTTTGGTAAAGTAAAAATATACACTTGTTCAGATTGAATGTTACTGAACTAAAAAATCTTAACCTGTTATGAGTGATTGTTAAGCCCTTAAATCAGTAGAAACATATAACCGATTTTGACAGCTTTTCTACTGTTATGTTAGTTTAGTTAGTAATGGTAAAAAATATCATATGTCACTTGTCCAAAATGTGTTTACTAGACTCGTATAGTAATCCCACTCTCATACTTGTCTGGTAAACACCTATTTTCCTGACTATATTCCGTTCAGAAAATTTTGGCGGTTAGAGGGGAAGCGATTACATCCCCTCCTCTCGCCCTAACTATGAAAACACAGCCAACAGCTTATCAGCTTAGGTACATTAAGTCTATAAAAAAGTGGTGAGGGGACCCAGGAATATTATACTGGCCAAATTTTGTGAACTTACTCTAGTACGATAACATATTATCCTGTTGATTGGTTGATGAAATATAGCATTTACTGCTGAACCAAGTAAAGCGGCTGCATGAACTTGCCAGTTATACTTGTACTGTACTTACCACATACTGTATTTACCTTGTCTATCACAGCATAACCTGTAGTCATGCCTACCCGTGACAGGACAAAGATCTATGACTATTGACAGAACTAGTTTTTGGAGGAAAAAGTACTTGGCTAAGAAATACATTAAGAAAGAAGGACTGAAAAACAACTAACTTACCTTCGAAAACAGTTCCAGGCAATTGCATATTAAAAGTTCACGACACAATTAACTTGTTTCACCCCTACACGGGGGCTTCTTCAGGAGAAAGAGGTGGAATTCTAGGAACTGTTTTTGTGCTTTCAACAGCCTAGAACTCTATTCTTGTATAAGCTAGGCCTAGTTCTGTAGCCTATCCATTTCTTTATCCTTAAAATCATTTATTGACGAAACCAGACATTCCATCTCTATGCTAAAGTTATAGCCAATTTTATAATAAAGAGGACGTAGTTTTTTAATAGTGCCTCTGACAGGCATAATTTAGGTCACATCAACCATCATCTCAATAGAAAAAAACAAAGGAAATAAAATCAAATTTCAGACTAGCACAATCTTTGAGTATTCAACTATGTCCCTTTTGAATAAAAAGTAGGCCTAGGCAACAGATAGTCTATTATTATTGGTTATCTACTTCAGTGTCCAAAAGTCAATACAAAGATCAGCTGTTTAGACAGGACCATAGACCAATTTCAAATCATAAGCTAAAATCTTTTTTAGGATTGAACCGGCAACCCTCTAATATAGGTAGCAATTAGTTGCTTACCTGGTCCAGATGTTGCTGCAGCATGAGGTTGTTGCTGCGTTGATGCTCTGTGTCTGCTGCCAGTTTGTCCAACGCAGCTCTCATATTCTCCATGTGCTTTTGCAGAGTTGCGTTCTGCTGCTCGTAGTCCGTGTTGCTCTTCCGCAGCTGCCTTAACTCCGCCTCCCGAGCTGAATATCAACCAAAATCAAACAAATAATTTATCAACACCAAAAACATTACATCAAATACATTTCATGTAGGCCCCTATTGTAATTTATAATGTCTTAACCCTTACCGCGCTACAAATATGTCGGGTGGCCTTGACTGTAATGCTACATATGCCTAAAAATATATTTTCCCAAAAGTCAAAACTGAATATTATTTTATAACTTTAACAGTATAACTAACGTAATAAGCCAATATAATAGCGAACGTAGCAGAGAACGAAGTTTTCTGTGGAGTCTGCGAGTTAACCAAACACTTGCGAGTTAGTTCGTCCACAGCGCTGGCGTCTCTCATAGCAGAGACCGGCAAGTGTAGGGCACCGCCATTTTGAACAATCAGAGGGCGGGGAACGTTGTTATTGTGATTTTCCATCACGTGATATGTTCTCCAATAGCTGCTGCACTCTATCAGAAAAACTGGGAACTACAAGGACCAGCCAATGCACTCTGTATTAAAGGCGAGTATAGTCGTCTATAGCGTTTTGAGCAAAGGGAATTTCGGCGAGTATATTCGTGTACAGCGCGGTAAGGGTTAAATCTACATGGTGAATGAACGAATGAATGAATTAATTTATTTATTTATTCCACCACATATATAAAATTACACAACCAAATATACAAAAAGAAAAAGGGTTTTATGCAAAACTAAATTAATTAACTATATACATGAGTCAAAGGTTGTTCCTATCTTTTTAGTCCTGGAATTAGCAGACATAGGCTGTGCCTGTGCGTCTACTAAGTTGCTATACAGATTGAATTGTACTTTTCACAATTTGTGTCTATGGAATAAAGATGATTTGATTTGATTTGATTTGAATGAAATTAAGTGGTTCAATTTAGTTTTATTATATTTGTATGAGTGAAAAGTATATTTAAAGGAAAATGTTGATATAATAAATACACTAATATAAACTACAACATCAAAATACACAAACATTATAAGGTACAATGATCGACTCATGGAGTTAAATGTAAAAAGTCTGAGATGGGATAACAAACCTTATCCAGTAGAGTTGTCTTGATTTTATTTTTATCATTGACTATTGGATACTGAAGTAGCCATCCCATCCTTATATAATACATGATGGCGATTTCTACGAAACGCTACTCCTCCGTTAATAATGGATGGATTTTTACAAACGACGTGTCAAAATAAAGTATTTTTTGTGTAGACGCCCCCTTTCACCAATTCCTGTAATAAAAATCCTTGGGCATTGCCCCACAGGCCATCAAAGTTGGATTTTCTCCCATAAGATTAACATGAGGGAATTTAAATATTTAATTGGAAACTTTGTCCCCACTAATTTGAGAGAACGGCTGGGCGTAGAAACTTGGTAGAGGTGTCCAAAGAAAGGTCTTGGTCTGTAGATGAGTTATCAATAGAAAAACTAAGCTAAATCCCTTAGGGCTCTACACCAGAAGCCTTTAAAGATCCCTCCACAGAGTTGTTTACGTTTTGGCTATGTGAATAATACTTTTTAATATAACAATTTAACAGCTGTTCAATTTTAAATTGTATTTCAAACAACACATAATATTTTTTGGGAGTTACTGAATTGTACCAAACAAGTATTTGCAATATTATTTTCTGATTTTAAAATTGATTTTCCTCTTTATCATGTCATGTTTTGCAATATAACGCTCCATTACGAAATCAGTGGAAAATCCTTTTATCACAGCAATTCTTAAATTATTTCTTATTGAACTATCTTATATCTATTGTACGGGTTGGTGTCTGCCTTTTTCACCACTTTTGCCTACCATCATATTATTCTAGACCAGTGTTGGGAAGTAGCGCGCTACAAGTAGCGACGCTACAGTAGCGCGCTACTTTTTTTGTAGCTTTAGCTGTAGCTAGCTACATTTTTAAAGTAGTTGTAGCGGAATTTTAGCTACTTTTCTCGCTACATTAACATTGTTTGAGATAGTGATTTTTATCATAACCTCAACATTACGTGAAACAACCGCTTTCAAACTGAGATTTTCAAAAAAATTAGGCCTTCTTTCTTGGCTTCATACAGCTGGTTGCAGCCGTTTCATTCCCTATTACAACGTTGTGTGGACATTAAATGAGTGTTATCCACATTTTTGGCTCTCATTTCCTTAATTTACTACTCTATGATTACTGTCAGATAAAATAAAATCGCTAGATGCAGACGATGTTTAAACGTTACCGGTGACAAGAGAAGCTATTGAATGCTGCAAGTGATTGACAGGGAAATAAGTAATCAATTTAGTTTCTTTATTATATCGATAGTGTTTCAACTTGGGTTTTAATGGAAACCAACACTAAACCTTAAAATAATGAGAAAGCTGGTCTATCAACCTTTGCTTCAGCTGTTGATTGTGATTCATCATCACAAGCCCTTCCTTGGTTAGATTACGAAGATTTTTCAAAGGTTTACTAAATTAACAAAAAGGAAATTACCTGATGAGATTTAAGATATCCCTAGACTACATGATAATTGTAACAAAAAAATCTCCATATAACATGAAACTTATATTGAAAAAAATCACAGTTTGCTCCTGCTAACAGCTCTTGTGTAGGACTATTCCTAGGCTATGCTATAGGGTTAAGACGAATACCAAGTTCCAAGTTCAATTATTAGGAATATGCCTGTGTAGTCCTTGCAAGAACAAGCCTACTATAGCCAAGTAGGCCTAAATGTTATTTTTACTTTACAAATTTCAACATGTTTAAATTAAAAGCCGATTTCAGAATAAGTTGCTGAATACTGTTTTCTGTACCAACTAGGTTGAAGCACAATTTGCCCTATGCATAATGACAATAAAGGACGATTTCTTGACTTTGAAAAGTGTTATTCATAGAACAAGTAACTTTTTGCTATGGTTAAAAGTTATAGCAATCAGCAATGTCGTTTTTAACATTAAAAGTAAAGAAAGGCAATAAACTCCAATTTCAATAGGCTAGGCTCTGTAACACAAAAAAGTATTTTTTAAATAATCGTTTTACAGTCTTATTGGTCTTAATTTTTAATATAAGACATCTATAAATGAATCTATATTAAAGAAATAAAATAATCTTTTAAAATATAGTTTGGTTGTATATCCTTTGAACTTAATGAAATTTACAAATGCTTAAAAATAATGCAATATTTAAAAATAAGTACTAAATATGATGGGACACCCAAATATTTGGTTTTGTTGTTGTAATGTTAGGTTTATAATGCCAACAAATTAAATATAATCTAGGAGTAATTTGTTTTCCAAGTAATGTTGGATACAATACTGACATTTTTTGTTTATATGTTTGTTCAATAAAAATGTAGTTGCAATTAATTTTACATTTACCTAATGTTCGTGAAATAAAAAGTAACGTCTTTGGAAAAGTAGCTAAAATTGTAGCTGTAGCTACATTTCATTGTAGCTGTAGTTGTAGCTAACTACTTTTTCGGAACTGTAGCTGTAGCTGTAGCTAAGCTACTTTTTTGGAAATGTAGCAGTAGTTGTAGCTAGCTACATTTTAAAAGTAGCTTCCCCAACACTGTTTTCTACACATATCAAATATTTATGTTGAAATATCTGCTCTTATCGTGTCTAATAAAATCCAAACATAGAAACCTTGCCTAAAATGGTACCCATCTTGACAAATTATTTGCACCTGCTTATACTACGGACTTTGGCACACTGGGTTGGTAACATTTTTGAAAATAACACTACATTTTGGCTGTAAAATATGGTACAAAGAGAAAATACGATTTAAGCAGCTACTGTCATGACAGAAAGGTCATATTCCTTTTAAACTAGATCACTTAGGGGCGGTTCACGAGCTCGGGACTTCATAGTCCGCGACCAGACATTGGCCCCGGACTATATAAGCGACGACCAAAAAATGGGTTCACGAGTCAGAGCCTAATGATGTGAAAGCCGGGCCCAGTGTAGGTCGAGACCAAATCCATAGCGGAGCCTAATGACAGGGATTCGCAGGGAATTTCTGTTGAGACGTTGGTAACAACAGTCTGGAAACACATGTGAAGCCACTGCTGCTGACATACGTACTTCCATACAATAGGATGATCGTGAAAAAGGCTGAACCAAAACGTCCAAAACAATTATTTTTCGTGTATTTCATTGTCCCAATGCTCACCTATAAAAATCTATCTAATTTTATTGATTTATAAACACAACAATCCACGTTTGTATGAAATCAGATAATGGAAGTCTGTAGTGAAATATATTTCTGTGTGCATTCTTATAATTCAATTAAGATGCATGTCATAAAATAACTGGGTATTTATAACCAGATGAATGCCTATTTTGCATAATTGCCCGATAATTTAGGATGGTATTTTGGATAGGATAATTTTAACTAAACTTATAATGGTACAATTAATTATTGAAACTAAAATGTATTTAGAGGTACTGATTATTAGATATGAAAATCGTAGGTATGTGCTGGTTTTAATCGTGGTTGGAATATAAGAATATTCTTTCCGTTATTCTTACACTCTTTAATAATCTAACTGTTAAATGTTGAAAATAATATTCTGCAGTTAGCTCGTAATATTATTTATGTTAACAGCTATGGTTATTAATTAACATTTTTTGTGTTGTTGCGATTTTTAAAATCTGTTTCATTGCTATTACAATGCGTTTATATTTAAGAAAACCTTTTTTTTCTTTGTTTGTTCTGCTTTAATTACCAAACAAATAGCTACCTTCCAAGCTTTGCTAACATCAAATAAATCACTAGTTTCTCGATGAAAAGTGCCATCAGCCAAAAATATTAGTGCAACTAACATTTTTTTCAATTTAGAATACTGTAATGGATTTTACTGTCGGGAAATCCGTGCCTTGGAGTGAACGCCTCAAATGACTCATTGAGGCATCTATGGAACATTTTAATCTATCTTTAAATTCATCAGTCATAAAAGGGTTTTAGTCATGATAACGAGCTGGTCCTATGCAAGGTAGTGGAGTAATGGTACATAATTGTTAACATA